GGCTCGAACTCACAAGCCGTGAGATCGTGACCTGAGCCTACACCGACCCAGTCACCCCCAGCATTGCTGTTTTTAACTAAATCTGCCATGTGCTTTTTCACCGTGGCCGTGAGCGTGGCTGTTGTGACCGTGCTGCTGCTCGGTGATTCTTGTGTGGCCCTCGGCCCTGAGATACCACAGTGGCTCTGAAGCCAAGCTCAAGCCCATAGGGCAGTCGGAGCTATTTCAGATAACTACTGCGTACCATGTTTTAAAACTGAAAACGGTGATTTTCTTTTTTCCCAAATCTACCCCCCGCTTTTGTGAGGGTTAAGATGTGATGAGATTCCACGATAGAAAACCCAAGATGAAAAACTCTGGGGCTTCTAATTCAGACACAGGAGAGAATGGAACTTCTGAGGCAGAAGTCTCGAGAAGAACGACATTTTCAAGCTGCACACAACTGTGTGGAAAATCTCAATTCTGTTGGAACAAGGTATTCTTTAATGAAAACCCCTTTGATGATTTCTACACTGATCTCTGTTTCTGAGCTGCTTATTCTGGAATTACTTTTTTAAAAGATTAATTGGACTTGGTTTGAAGTGTTTGAAGCATACTTGGTCTGTTTTAGGCTGACCGTCTCCCATGCACTTGGCAGTCAGGAGGCCTTTGAGCAGAGAGGCTGACAGCTGAAGTGAACAAATGAAGAGGCTCCTCTTGGGTCCCCTCTTCCCCTCTCAGGAGTGCACTGAATTCCTTGCAGATTTATGAAGGGCACTGAGAGGTGACTAATTCTGGAGTGTCTGAGTGAGGCTGAGAGAGCTGGGGTAATTCTCAGTGTCGCACTCATCCGAGTTTGTGTAGTGTTTCGTGTTTCCTTCTCCTCATGTCCATTGTTTCCAAGAGTCCATTGTTTAAAAAAATTTTTTTCATGTTTATTTTTGAGAGAGAGAGAGAGCACGAGCAGGGGAGGGGCAGGGAGAGAGGGAGACACAGAATCCAAAGTAGGCTCGGGGCTCCGAGCTGTCAGCATAGAGCCCGACACCACGGGGCTCGAACTCACGGGGCGGGAGATCATGACCTAAGCCAAAGTTGGACACTTAACTGAGTCACCCTGTTGCCCCCAAGAGTCCACTGTTTTAAATAACTGCTGGTAGGAACCGTCAGCTCTTGGTCAGTGCTGGTGCCTGGTGAGTCACATCTGCTACCTTACTTAATCCTGCCAGCAGCCTTACGGAATAGGTCTTTGTACCTTCCTTGTACACAGGAGGAAGTTGATGCTCAGAGGTTAAGTCCCAGCTAGTGCTGGATATCCTGGCGCAAGTTTGTTTGGAAGCAGAGCCTGAGAGGATTTTGCTGCAGGTAGTTTGTGCGGGAGGTGATCCTGGAGAGGAGGAGTGAGGAAGCAGACAGGAAACACAGGAGGAACGGCCAAGACAGGGATGTGTTATTAAAGTTGATGCTATAGCCCCGGGGCTCTGCTTCCATCAGGATCTCTGAGAAGCGCTCAGAAGGCCTCCTAGAAATGCCCGTCCGAAGGAAGGGACACCAGAACACTGATATACTGACATTTGTCACCTGTTGGCCGAGAGCGGTCTTAATTCCCCAGAACTTCTGGGCTATGTGGCTTGACGTTCCCCGAGACTCGGAGAATACTCTCAGCAGAAAAACAGAGACGGGTACAGGTAAGGGACCTTGTGGGCCTCCGAAGGGGCTCACGCAGGGCTGCCTTCCTTCCAGAGCCACGCCTGAGATGAGAAGTAGGCTAAAAGGGATGTGATGTGATTGGTGCCAGAGCGGCTGCGGAAAGGGCTGGGACCTGTGCCCCGACGGCTTCCAAAACCTGTGCTCTTTCCAGACCGTCTCCCTGTAGACAAACCTAGGAGATGGGGGAAGTTAGGGCAACACAGAAATACAGAGAATGCACAGTGATTATAATAGTGGGAACAGAATGAACATCGTCGGTACAGCACCTGTCGTCGTGGAGTCGGGAAGATTCGCTTTCTGTTGGTGGTGGCCGGTTAACGTGCGTGTGTCTTCCTTGCGTGTATGTAGGTTAGAATACAAGACGAATGCCCAGAATATTCTAAGTACTGGAGACTGCAACTGACTTGGGATTAAAAATATCCTCCATCATCGAGTTTTTAAGGTCGGTCATGCATACGAGATTATGTTGTTCTCAGCACGTGTGAAATGTGGTGGGTATTGGTGGGGGATGGGTAGGGGAATGCCTACGCTGGGCCTCGTGGACCACCGTTCACTCTGAGTTCTGTGTATTTCTTGTTGTTAAAAATCACTTGGTAACACCCCAAGGATGTTTCAGTGCTGCGTAATTGACATACAGCATTGTGTAAGTTTAAGGGGTACATGTTGATTTGGTGCAAGTGTGATTACCACCGTAGAATTAGCGGACGCCCCCGTCACCTCACGAAGTTACCGTTTCTTTCTTGTGGTGAGAACATTTAGGATCTAGTTTCTTAGCCGCTTTGAAGAACGTAATATAGTACTGTTGACTCTAAGCATGTTTTACGTTAGGTCTCTTCTGACTACAAGTTTGTACCCTTTGACCCCCATCCCCCCTCTCCCTGTCCCCCGATGCCCAGCTCCGATAACCATTCTACTCTCTGTTCTAGGAGTTTGGCTTTTTCAGATTCCACACCTAAGTGGTAGGACAGTATTTGTCTCTCTCTGTCTGGCGTGTCTCCCTTAGCTTAACGCCGTCAAGGCCTGTCCCTGTTGTCACAAACGGCAGGATTTCCTTCTTCCTCAGGAATGAGCACTATCCCGTTGTGCGTGTCTGTACACACGCACACCCCGCCCCCACGCGTTTGTTGACGCTGAGGTGTTAGCTCTGGTGACTAATGCTGTGTGCAGATACCTTTTTGATACGCGGTTGCGTTTTGTCTGGATATATACCCAAGAAGTGAGAGCCCTGGGTCATAGGGTGGCTCCAGTTTTAATTTTTTCGGGAGCCTCCACGCCATTGTCCACAGTTGGCTGCACCAGCTTGCATTCCCACCAGGGGTGCACGAGGGTTCCCCTTTCTCCACGTCATCGCCAACGCTTGTCGTCTCGTGTCTTCTCAGTGGTGACCGTTCTGACAGGTGTGAGGTGATGTCTCGTTGTGGTTTCGATCTGCATTTTCCTGGCGATGAGTGATGACGCACCCGCTGGTCATTTGTCGGTCTTTGGAAAAACGTTTGCTCAGATTCTCTGTCCGTGTTTTAATCGGATCTTTTTTTATTGAGTTATAGGAGTTCTGACGCCCCAAAGGTGTGACACTCCCCAGAGGTAAACGGTGGGGAATAACGTCTGCAGTGAAATTATTTTCGGCGTTTCAGGCCCCACGTTTCTTGCACGACAGTAAGGTAGCTGAAACGTTCTGTTCTGCCACGCTCAGCCTAGCATAGTGTCTGCACGAGGTAGGCGCTGCGAGACGCTTGTTTAGGGGAACGAACCCAAGGAGTCATCGTTTGATTCTTGGGCCAGTCGCACTTGGGCAGGGTCTGGAGCCAAGGCGGCTTGTCTGGAGGGTCTCCGTACTGCTGCGTGAGAGGCCAGCGCACACTTAGTGTGTAAAACGGCGCAAAGGTAGGAGCTTACCTGCCGCCTGTAGGGCAGAAGTCAAGGCCGGAGCCTCGCGGGCCGACGTCAGGGTGTCGACCAGGCCACGTTCCTTTCTGGGACTCGGGAGAAGAGCCCCCATCTGAGTTCATTCAGGTGGTTGGCGGGGTTCCAGCTCCCCGCAGCTGTGGTTAAGGCCCCTGCTTTCAGCCGGGAGCTGCTCTCCGTGTCTGGCTGCCACCTGCGTTCCTCGCCGTGTGGGTCCCGCATCCTCAGAGCCAGCATGGGAGAATGTTCCTTGTGTCACGTCTCTCTCTCCAGGGAAAGTGCACGCAGGTGCCTTTAAGAGCCCGATCAGGTCAGGCTTGCCCAGGTGACCCCTCTCTCTTAAAGTCAGCTCTGCCCCGGGGCATAGCCTGCTCATGGCAGGAAAGCCAGTCCTGCTGATAGTCGAGGAGGGCATCTCGTGCAGGGTGTATGCACCAGGAGCAGGGCATCTCGGAGGCCGCCTGAGAACTCTGCCCCCCATGGGAGGTACAGAGGACTCCGGAGTTCAGAGCAAATGTGAAAATAACCCTGGGCCCGTGAACGAGGTGAATAATGGTAAATGCCTGACCCAGATTTCATTCTTGCGTTCCCCATGCGCGCATTGAGGAAGGTTAGAGCGCTAGGAAGTGGTCACGGGATGGTAAATTGGGGTCTCTTCCTGGCATGACGAGGCTCAGGCTGATGGACTGGTATTGCTGACTCGGCCCGAACTTGAAGGGTCGCTGCTCACACTAATCAGAAAGTTCTTTCTACGTTATTTCACTGAAGGCGCACGTCAGGATTGGGTTAGTATCTCTATCCCAGATTCAGCCGGGTGATGTGAGGCTCAGGAAGGTTGACTGACTCAGCCAGGTTGCCCGTTAGTGAACAGCAGAGCCGGGACCTCGCTCTTCTGATCCAGCACGACGGCTGCATCCTTGCCCTTCCACTTATTGAACGCCTGCTGTGCCCGGCTCCGAGCCGGGTGATGAGGCGTCACTGTCCACGAGGAAGTCCGAGTCTTGGCCCCCTATACTGCATGTAATGTACGAGTCAGCGTCACCAGTCTGGTCGCGGGGGGTGCCCCAGGGCGGGATAGCGGGGTCCGCTGGAGTCAGGTGAAGTGTTAGCCAAGAGGCTGGTCTTGGCTGATGAACCGCTGATCCGCAAACAGTGGACACGTGGTGGGAGGTCATGGCGCAGGAAGAGGCATGGGGGGCCGGGGGGCTGGCCCACCAGGTCAGGGGAAGAAGTGCCGTGGAGGGTGGGTGGGGCGGGGGGGCACCTGCATGGCAGTCGGGGCACCAGCCGGGGTTTGACAAGCAGACGCGACCCTCTCAGCTTGGAGGGTGGAGGTGAGTGTGTACTTACTCCCACTTCCTGCCTCCGTCCCTCTTCATACCCTGACCCCGAGTGTTCTGTTTCCGTAGCTGAACTCGATGCAGAGCACACCCAGAAGGTCCTGGAAATGGAGCACACCCAGCAGACGAAGCTGAAGGAGCGGCAGAAGTTTTTTGAGGAGGCGTTCCAGCAGGACATGGAACAGTACCTGTCCACGGGCTACCTGCAGATAGCGGAGAGGCGAGGCAAGTTGGGCAGAGGGCCGCTGGCGGCGGGGACCTTCCCCGGGAGCCCGGAGACCGTGTCTCACTGCGCCCCCCAGGTGGGGTGTGGGGCACAGGTCCCGGAAGTCTGTTCTGGCGTTAGTCCCCAAAACTCAAAGTGGCTCTGCCATGCGGTATTCGTCTCGTCCTTGTCTCTACCTTTTCCTGTAGGTCTAGGCTTCAGTTGGAGATACTTAGAAAACATGGAGCAGGCTTTGTTTTTGTTTTTTTTAAAAAGGTAAAAACCAAAGAAGCATCACCCATAATTCTACAGCACAGTAAAATCTCCGTCACTATTTTAGGGTGGTTCTTTCGTGTGTGTGTGTGAGTCTGTACATAATTGGTATCAAACCATACACACATCTGGCTTTGGGTCTATCTAAATACTGTACAGGGATCTTTCCCCCTGTGTTATTAACAGTTCTTTAAAAGGGTATATTTTCAAAGCTGCGTCTGCATCGTCAGGATGTACACAGTTAACATTTAACCAGACCCTTAGTTGAACAGATTCTTTATCTTTATACACGGTTCTGAGATGAACATCCAGATTCATAAATATTCGCGTCTCCAAGAGTTCCCAAGAACAAACTGAGCAGGGGCGAAGCCCGGTACAGGGTCCCTCATCCAGCCTCTAGAAGGAGCACGAGCAGCTTGGTTGCACGGCACGTGGGCAACCGTCCAGGGCCCCTCTGCTCACCTGCCCCTCCGTACCCCTGAGCCCCTCCGCTCGCCAGCCCTGTGTCCTCCATTCTCTCCCCTGGCCAGCCTGGCCCTGGTCTTTGTTCCGATACCCTGCCCCTCGCCACACCCCCCAGCTCCTCTCTGTTCCCCTCACTCTGTTCCTTCCCTGTCTTTGAATCCGGTGTCTGCCCCCAGGAGAGAGGTTAAGGAAATAAAAACCGAGGAAGGAAAATAATGGAGGCAAAACACATCAAAAGTAGCATGGCGACACACCTGGGAGAGCACCACAGGATGCGCCGTGTGGATAAGGCTTCTTTCCTCAGGGCGGGTCAGATTTGAAGGAGGACATCCGGTCTCCACAGAGCTGGCTGTGTCCCTTTTGTATGCCCTCCTCTACATTCTGTCTGCGTCTAGAAAAGCTGGACAGATTGCCTCAGAATATGCATGCTATTCGTGGCCTGCAGGGTTTGGTGCCGCTTATGGAGGGAGTAGCCCGTTCGCTGCAGGGATTCGCGTCTCGTTACGGGCAGGGGTGAGGTCACTGTACCCTGCACGGCCGCGAGACCCTCTCTGGTGTGTCGGGGGCCCCGCCCTCCCCACCCCATCTCCACCTGTTAGCCTCCCAGGGGCCCCACCCCCAGACACTGCGATGACACTGGGTGTCAGGACTTCCATATACGAGTTTGGGGGACACAGACATCGAGGCCGTACCAGCCACGCACCTCCTGGGAAACACACTGCGCATCTGAGGACAAGGAGCCGCTGCACCCGGGAGGTGGGAGGAGGTTGGCCGGCGAAGGGAACAGTCAGAGACTATCAGTGCTGAGTTAACCCTGCACGTCCAGCTTGGTTCCCTGGATGTTTCCGGAGCACCTGCGAGCACTCGGCACGTCTTTAGGCCCAGAGGAAGAAAGGCCAAGTGGAAGTGCCTCTTAGGTAGGCCCGTGCTCGTGGGGAGACATGGGAGCACACACGGAGGTGAACCCGGCGCAGGGAGGTTCGAAGTGCCTCCTTGCGGTGACCGAGAGCCCGGCACACGGGGACCCTCCAGCTGGCGCGGTGGGGTGCCCGGCCAACTCTTGTTGGACAGACATCAATGAAGTATTAAGGAATTGAATTCTCACAGTTTGGGACACTTAAAAAATAACATTCTTCAAGTTTCCAAGAAGTCTTAGGCTCCTTTTTTTTTAAGGTAAAAAAAAAAAAAAGGGAGTCAGGCACATGTTGCCGATATGTGTGATTTTGAAAGCACTGAAGAAGAAAATTGGAGATTGGGCTTTTTAGCTTTCTACTTCAGCCGGAGCTGGAAAAACATTCAGATAACAACAGGCATCTCTCGGCGAGGCTGTTGAGAGCCATCCCTTAGACTTCCGGCCTGGCAAGTCCCACGTCCCCTTCTTACAGACTGTTCATCTCCAGGGATGAACACGGGGATGTTTAATGTAGGAGAATCCATCAAAGTAAAAAATCTCCATAGTGAATGTGGTATTTTGGACTCATTCCATACATCAGAAATAGCAGTGAATTTTTCTCACTTTCCAAAGCATTATTTTTTAATTAAGACACAGGAGTGGAAAGTTTTATCCAGCAAATTATCAGGGTAAAGGGACACCCGTGACTCCTTGGATCAGGATGAGGCTGGAGAACCCACGGAGCCAGGAGCATCAGGCACTTGAGGAGGCACGAGGCCACGCCAGCTCGCCAGGCGGCAGAGGGGACCTGGCACCCGCCACGCGCCCAGCAGTCCTAGTGCCATCAGGGCACGTGTAACCTGGTACGACCCTGGCCCGGGTTCGGTCTTCCACCCAACATGACTCCTGTTTTCTTTGTTGCTGGGTGCTGGGGTATCTTGACAGATCACCTGGGAGACACGCTGTTCCATACGTGTGTGTGCCCACAGCTCTCAGGCTCCCGTGGGTCCCTGCTGAACTGGCAGTTCGGCAAAGTCGAATCTTCTGGAGCCGGGGGCTGCGCCCTGTGCCGCGAGACACTCTTACTCAGGCCTCGGAAGTCCCCCAGTGGACCCAGTGCCCAGGACAGAGAGGGACGTGATGTCTGGGCTAGTGGTAAAATTAACAAAGTTAGAAGAGATGGAATTAGTAGATAAAACTGCACTAAACTAAAATTCATATAGCGTCCCCCCAAGATACAATCTGGAATGCAGTAGTATCTCAAAACACAATTGCCAGCTTATGGTTTTAACTTTGTGTGATTGTCTCCCCGTGAGTGTTTGAAATTTGGGGTGGCTGGGTCTGTTTAGTGTCCACCTCCTGATTTCGGCTCAGATCGTGATCCGAAGGTGTGGGATCGAGCCCCGTGTTGGGCTCCATGCTGAGCATTGAGCCTGCTTGAGATTCTCTCTCTCCTCCCCTCTAAAAAATAAACAAAACCAAACCTCACTGTGGAGGACATTCTCTTATGTCTTCGTACATGTGATGAGAGTTTCTTTGGGGCAGTGGGCCTCAAACTTGAGCAAGCCTCAGTCACCAGGGGGGCTGTTCACATGGAGACTGGTCCCACCCCCGGGTTTCCGATCTAGTAGGTTTGTGGTGGGGTCTGAGAGTTCACATTTCTAACAAGCTCCCAGGTAAAGGAACTCTTGAGGCAGTTGGACACTTTGAGAACCGCTTCTTGAGGGTGTATCACTGGGACAGTAATTAACGGAGTCGTTTGACGTGCTTATCTGTAATTTCACTAGATTCTGTCCGATTACCTGCCCAAGTCCCCCGTTGGTTTACGGTGCCCTAGCAGTGTGTATATGTGCCATCACTTATCTTTGTCAACACTGGGTAGTGCCTGATATTTAAATTTTTGCCAATCTGTGAGTATGAAATGACCTCTTGTTTTTAATTTGCATATCTTTGTCCATTTTCCTCCTGGTTGTCTGTCTTCCTTTATGGGGTCTTTTTTTTTCTTTAATTTTTTTTAATGTTTTTATTTATGTTTGAGACACAGCATGAGCGGGGGAGGGCAGAGAGAGAGAGAGGGAGACACAGAATCCAAAGCAGGCTCCAGGCTCTGAGCTGTCAGCACAGAGCCCGATGTAGGGCTCAAACCCACGGACTGTGAGATCATGACCCGAGCCGAAGTCGGACGCTTAACTTGACTGAGCCACCCAGACGCCCCCTCCCCCCCTTATGGGGTCTGATGCTCGTGGTATTGGCCTTTACGGATTGTCATCTGAGGCAGTCACCTTCACTCAGTCCGTGGCTTATGGATTCTAGAGAGGCCTTTGCTAAATGTGTGTTTATTTCAACGTGATCGGCTCTACCCATTTTATTGCTAATGGTTTGTCCTTTTGTGTCTTGTTCAGGAAATCCTTCCCTCCAAGTATAAGCACACAAGTAGAGCTTGGCTGTAACTCCAAGTTCTAAGAACATTCTACTGTGTTTTATTCTTAAAGTTTCAGTGTTTCCCATTTTATAGTTGGCTGTTCAGTCCACCACCAGTTCGTTTTTCTGTGTATGGGGAGGTAAGGACCCAAATTCAGTAACTTTGCCTCCACCCCAGCACTCTTTCCCCACTGTTTCTGGGTGTCTCCACTGCAGTACCCGGTGAGTCTTTTCTGGGCTCTCTTCTCTGTCTCTTTCTTCTGTTTGTCTAGCCTGGAGCCCAAACTCTACTATCTTCATTCTTCACGAAGCAGTGGCTCTCAACTGGGGGCGGTTTCGTCCCCTCGGGACATTTGGCAGAGTCCCCAGAGTTTTGCCTGCTGTGCTTGGGGCAGGGCTGTGCTGTTTGCATCTATCCGCTAGATGCAGGGATGCTGTTGGGCACCTGCCAATATACAGGACAGCCCTACAACAAAGAATGCTCTGGTCCAGAGTGTGGGTGCCTTGGCCGAGAAACCTTGTCTTACAGCAAGTCTTGCTGGGTGGTGTGCTGGAGCGATTCTTACACACCCGAAACACGTTTATGCATTCTTTCTTGAGAATTGCCTTGGCCAGTCTTGGCTCTTTGTACTTCTGTATAAATGTTACAGTCAGATTTGCAAGTTCTGTGAAAACCCGTCCAGGCCTTGTTTGCGGTTGTGTCGCTTCTGTGCCAAAGGAGCACCAGCCTCTTAGTGGTGCTGGACGTCCACACGTGCAGTAGGCAAGCCCTCCTCCCTGATTTCCCAAGCTCTGGGTAGAAGCAGCCTCAGACACTGCGGGGGCCGAGTAATTTCTCTGTGGGAAGAGTTGCCACCTGTGTTTCTCCACTAGGTACAAAGGTTTCCTATTTCTTGTCAATTTTAACAAGTTTTCCATGGAATCTGTCTGGTTGATCTGTAGCTCTCAGATGTGTTAGCATAACGTCCATAGTATCATTCTCAGCCTTTGAAGTGGTATTTGGGTTGAAGTTTGCTTTTCCACCCCTCTCGGATCACTAATTTGTGCTGTTCATCCTTCATGATGAGTCTTACACAGAACAGTCATCTTTAAGTGTTTCCTTAAAGACCCAACTTTTAGCTTTGTTGTTGCTATCGTATATCTCATTAGTTTCTCTTCCTTAGTGCTGGGCATCTTCAGTGGCGGTTTTGTTTTTTGGTTTTTTTCCCTTGGTTTTGGTCTAATTTGACTGGGCTTGGTTTTCAGCATTCTTGTCTGAATAAGGCATTCAAAGCTATGAACTTTTTACAAGGGTAACATTCACCACTTTTTAACAGAATTCTACAAGTTCTGACAAGTAAGTTTCTTCCTGGGTTTTTTTAGATTTTCCATTACAATTTCTTATTTGACTTGTGACCTGTTTACAAATGTTTTTAAATAATGCGTGAAGTTGTTTCTAGTTACCTTTTGTTCCTGATTTCTCATAAACTTCATTGTGGTTGTTGCAGAATGGGTTTTTGATTTTTTTTTTTTTTTTTAATTCAAGACTTAGAGTTTTCCTACGTGTTTTCTGTGCATTTGAGGGTAAGATTCTAATGATAGGGTTCTGTGTGTACCCGTTCCACCAAGATCGTAAGTTGGGCTGTTTAAGCATTCCCTATTATTGAATTGTATAGTTTAATTATTATCAAAGAGGTGTATTAAACCATTCTTCCCAGGATTATGGATCGGTTAGATCTTCCTTGTCACTCTGCCATTCTTTAAACATCGCCACAAATTATGTCACACAAATTTTGAATTGTCCTCCAGGCAAACTGAAACTTGATTAAATCACTAAGTACTACTCTTTATTTCAATATTTTTGTGTTCCCTTAAAGTCTGTTTTGTTTCCTATCAGTATTGCTATGTCAGGGGCACCTGGCTGGCTCGGTTAAGTGTCCGACTCGATTTTGGCTTAGGTCACGATCTCTCAAGTTGGTGAGATCAAGGCCTGTGTTTATCTGCCTGACAGTGTGGAGCCTGCTTAGGATTCTCTCTCTCCCTCCCCCTGCTTGCCCTCTTTCTCTCTCAAATAAACTTTAAAAAACTATTGCTAGGTCAGCTTTCTTCTTCGAGTTAATTATGTAACTACTTAAGCTTTTGTTTGTTTCTTTTAATTTAATGTCCTTATGTTTTGGGAGTGTCTCCAATAAACTAGACATAGCGAGATTTTTATGACTTTAATTCAGTCTTCTAATCTGTTAACTGGAAAATCCGACTCATCTACATTTACTGTGATTACTGACACACGGCCTCATTACTACCTTTCTTGGTACTGTTCCCATGCCTTTTTTTAATCCGGTTTTGCGTTCTCTTCGGTTTTAAATCCTACTCCTGCCCTTTTCCAAAGGATGGGACAGACAGAAATGAAAGGGAGCCTGTGTCCCTTTCAAAACTGCAGTCAGAGCAAGGCCAACCGCCAGAAAGGCCCTGCTGACAGGCCGTGGCCAGAACAGAAAACCTGCCGCTTGCCTGACTTCTGGTGGCCCGGCAGCCACACACAAGCACCCACGGGGCCCACGACTGACCGGTGGCAGTGTCCCCTGACCAGTCAGCCTGGAGAAGCTTCGGGACGCCGCCCCGCTGGTACCCCTCGCGGTATCGAGCGTGAAGCAGCGCGGTGACTCCGCGTGGCAGTGGCCCCGGGCCTGCACCCCACCCGAGTCCACACCACGTGGCTTTCATGCCTCTACTTCGAGGAGTCACCTCAGCTATAGCAAGCTTCCCCCTGCAAAGAACAGAAACTACATGCTTTCTTATTTTAGCGCTGGCCTTGAACGAGGTTGTGCCTAAGACGGTCAGCTCCTCCCCTTCCGCTGCCGGAATGGGGTCTTACACCGCGATGGCTCTCGGGCCCCCCCCCCCCCCCCCCCCCCCCCCCGCCCCCAGCTCCCGAGTCACCCACCTCCTGCATCCTGGGCCCGACCTCCTGGACTCTGTGCCTGTGGCGAGAGTAGGTTTGTGGTGACGAGCTGTCTGCGCTCATAGCTGATGCTTGATCTTAAATGCCATTTAATGTTACATAATTTTAGAAATGGCATTTATCTTACCTCTTTGAACTTATTCCATTGTCTTCTTATATTGTTGTCGAGAAGCTGTCAATCTAATTATTTCCTTCTCTTCCCTCTCGTGCCCTCTCTCTGAGGTTCCCCAGCTTCACTGCAGGTGATGTAGGGGAGGATTTCTTTCATCTGTCTTCCTTGGAATAGATTTTTGCTTCCTAAATCTGGGACGTCACATCTTCCAGCAAGTCTGGGAGAAAATCAGCCTCTTTGTCCGTGTCCCCCACCATCTCTTCTTGTCTCAGAACTGGGACAGTGCTGCGGGTTTGCATTTTCCGTCTGTTTCTGTGCCCTACGGTCTTATTCATTCTTCCTAATTTGTTTGGCCCTAGTCCCTAACCATCGGTTTAATACCGGCCCACAGTTTTACATTTCAGTGATTAAAATGTTCCTATCTGAAAGTCGTTTGGCTGGTTTTTGATTCCATCTTTAAGGTCATTAAAATGCATAAAGTCATTTGAATTCTCAGTAAAGGCTGTTACACGGAGCTCCTTTCTGCTGACCTTCGCTCGGAGTGACGGACCGGTTCCCACCGTGTGCTGTAGACTCTGGACTGGGCTGAGTTTATGTTTTTACATCACTGTGAGACCCAGGGCGAAGGGGGCCTCCACATCCAGAAATAATTTGTTTCTGCCAGGGACGGTCATGCCTGGGGTGACCAAGTCGATTGGCTCGTTGTTTTCTGGACCACAGAGGTAGCTGGAATATGGGCTCCAGACCCAGGGGCTGCCCTCCCCCAGGGCCCCGGCTGGTGGACCCCTCCTGGTATTGATGTCCTTTTGCTCCTGGGCCAATTTTACTTTTCTCTTTCACCACAGAGAGCTCGTGCTCCCCACTCACCAGCATGCAGCTGCCCAAAGCTTGTCTGCTTTTCAGATCAAAGACTAGAGAGATGTCATAAGGGCAGTGACAGCTTCCCCAGGAAGCTCGATAAAGTCTGGGGGCCTCTGCACGTAGAAGGCAAAGCTGTGTTGGCAGGGAGGTAACGAACCTCCTACTGCTGCGGGGATGTGGCTCTTGGGACCCTGCTCCCCGCAGCCACGGGCTGCTTCGTGCAGAAACGGGTCGTGTTCCGCACCTGCAGGCCGAGGGCTGGGGTGAACGGAACAGCCGGAAGGGGCCGAGGTAATAGCAGCCAAGGCCGGTCTAGGGTGGAGTCACAGGGCCCGACTGGGGTGTGTCGTTTTCTGTCTTAGAAAGTCTGGAGTAGCAGGAGAGATTTCATACCTGGAGAACATACGTAGTTAACTGATGCACTTGAAGGGTTACTGAGGACCAAAAGGATCATTCCTTCTCGTGCCCGTCTCTTCCCAGAGCCCATGGGGAGCATGTCGTCCATGGAGGTGAACATCGACATGCTGGAGCAGATGGACCTCATGGACGTGTCTGACCAGGAGGCCCTGGACGTCTTTTTGAACTCCGGCAGCGAAGACACCGCCGTGCCGTCTCCGGCCGCAGGTGGGGGCGACAGCCTGGCACGATGTCTGTCACACGTCCGCCATCTCCCAACCGCCAGCCTGGATCCTGGACGCCCGGGGCCAGTCTCTAAGTTCTGCCTCTTGTCCCGCCACTTGTGGGCTCACGGCGGTGGGGAGGGAGGCTCTGGTTGATCCGTGGTGAACCTCTCCCAGCTTGTGAGTGCTCAGCCCAGATTCGTCCAGGGACCGCGCAGTTGGACTCAGGTCGTACTTCTTCCTTGGGCTCAGAAGGCCTCTGGGAGTCAGGCTATAAGGTCTGGAGCTTGGGACTCA